CCAGAAAATGGTTCCATCATTACTCCTCTCTTCAATTTCTATATGGAACTTGGTTTACAGTGTACAAATCTACCTCGAAAATGCTTCAACAAATTTGTCCAGTCAGCTGTTCATGCTAGAAGGGAAGGAGATGAGAACCCTTCATCAGGAGTTGTTGCAGAGACTATGAAACTATTAGGTAAATCATCCTACGGTTACCAGACAATGGATAGATCGAGACATACGAGTATGAGATAACACACAAATCAATTATTGAACCACTCATCAGAAAAACTTGAACAAGGTTGAGTTAGTGAAGTCAACAATTGAGCAATAAAATCCATAATTGTCGGATTTTTCATTCAGCAGTATTCAAAGCTGAGAACGCTTGAGCTTTACTACGTTTTTTTTCGACAAGTTTTGTGATGAAAATAAGTTTCAGGAATTAGAAATAGACACGGATTCGCTGTATTCAGCTCTTGCTGAGGAAAATTTGAATGATTGTATTCGTCCGGAGACACTTGCTGAGGAAAATTTGAATGATTCTATTCGTCCGGAGAAAAAAAGATGACTGGGAAAAATTGAGAGAAAATGACTGCAGAGATTCATTGGTAGCAGATTCAAAAACAAACATTTTTCCACGAATATGTAGCGCTCACAAACACGACAAACGAGAGCCTGGGCTGTTGAAAGAAGAATTTAGGTGTACGGAGATGCAGTGTTTATGTAGCAAGACTTATTGTTGCTATGACAACAAGTCAGACAAGACGAAACTTTGCAGCAAAGGATTGAATAAAAGAGTTCTAGAGGAATCCGGCGATGGACGCATGGCAAACTACAGGAGCGTACTCGACAAAGCAATCAACTTGACTTCAACAAACAGAGGATTTAGGACCATTAATCATATGGTTGCTACATAGGAGCAGACAGGGTTGAGTTATTTTTACCCAACAAGACAAGTTCAGGATGACACAAAACATTTGAACTTGTAAATATCTGGTAGTCTAGCTGCATTCAATGCAGTATTGATTAACCAACTGTAAACTTGTGGTAAAATGATTAAACGAAGCAGATGATATACTTTATCTTTTGAATTTAACTTCATTTCTCAAAAACTTGATTTTTTCTCGAAGTTTCGTTAGGTTTAAGTATAGTTCCAGCTAGATAGAGCATTGTCTTAAAAATAAAGATTACCTAATAAAATAGTTAATGCTCAAAGTATATCAAATCTTGTCGTGTTTTGAAACTTTTTTTAAATAAATTCCAATTTTACTACCTTGTAACGCAACTCCGCTGCTTCGAATTTTCAACAACTCAAAAAACTATTCTTAGAGTGTACTCTGACAGCACCCTATTAGTGTTCGTAATTACAAACTCTGCAAAATTTTTTTATTCAAGTTTTATACAAATTTTGAAGAACCATAGAATTTATTTGACAAACAATAAGTTTTATTCAAGTTCTTCGAAAAATTCAAAATGAACTAAGAAACGTCACATCTGGGAAACTGAAAGCAACGAATTATTTTGTAATTTAAGATTTCTGAAAATTTCCAAAAAAAATCACAGAAATCGTCGTATCTCTTTAACAAAAATGAATTGAGCATTCTTAACCGGTGGCCAAATTTGCAACCCCTAAGATTACTCTGACAGCCCCCCAACTACAGGTTACGAAATTCAAACTTTGAAAAAAAAGTGATTTGATTTTCATGAATTTTTAAAAAAAAATCACAAATCAAAAATCAAAACGTCATATCTGGAAAGCTACAAGGATTTTAGCTGTCAAATTGGGATGCAAAACTCGCAACTCCTGATAGTAACCTGACAAAGCCTCAATACAGAAATGATAATTTCAAGTTTTGTGAAATTTTTTGAAAAACCTAAAAAAACGTCATATCTCAAAAACAACAAGAGATTGAGCAGCCATATTCAGAGGCAAGATTTGCAACCCCCTGAGAGTACCCTCACAGATTCCAATAACATGATTGAGATCTCCAAACTTTTGGAATTTTTTAACATTCAAGTTTTTTTGAAAATTTTGAAGAAAATAATAAAAAACGTCATATCTCAAAAACTACACGGATTTGAGCAGTCATATTGGGCTATAAACTTCGCAACTCCTGAGAGTACCCTGACAGAGTCTCATTACAGAGATGGTGTTTTCAAGTTTTGTTAAACTTTTTATATCTAAGTTTTCTGAAAAATTTTGAAAAAAAAAACAAAAAACGTCATATCTCGAAAACTACAAGGATTTGAGCAGCCATAATTAGAGGCAAGATTCGGAACCCTTGACAGTACCCTCACAATATCTAACAACAGGATTGAGATCTTCAACGTTTTGGAAGTTTGTAAAATTAAGTTTTTGAAAACTTTTTAAAAAAATCAAAAACACGTCATATCTCAAAACTACAAAGATTTGAGAAGTGAGAATCCGAGGCAAGAGTCACAACCCCTAAATTAAATTTCTAAATTAAAATTTCTAGAAATTTTTGAAAAATCTCGAAAATTGCCTATCTCGTAAAAAGATTTGGTTATTCATATATGGAGGCCAGAATCGCAAAACCTGGGAAAACTCTGACAATATCCTAATGTTGTGTTGCTAATTTCAAACTTGATGATATAAGCACTGAATTTAAACTGGAAAATTGAAAAAAAAAAACCGTAACCATTGCAATATACGATATAACTTAAACGTGAAAAAATTCTTTTGTTAAACATGCAGAAATAATACGTTGAAAAAGCTTAAACATGACGAGATAATGAAGCCCACTTTAAATATATAAAAGATAGATAGATAATAGATGAAAGTTAAAAAATTAGGCGACGGGTAGACAGACATAATCAAATTAATTTAAAAAGCAGGTATACAGACAGAGACAGACTTAATTTGGGCTCGGAAAAAACTGAAAAATTAATGACCTTGCGGAAAACTAATTGAAAAATTTTCTTAAGCATTGCAAGGTATGATACAAATTAAACATGAAAAAATTCTTTAGTTAAACATGCAAAATTATTATGCTTAAACATGGGAGATAGCTGTGACTCGCATTTAAATATAGTAAAGATTGATAAAAAAACTCTAACCATTGGTTTACCATGAACCAAAATCATAATACCTTCATTCCACAATCTACACGTACTACTGATACTCACCTATTAAATAACTCGGGCTGAGATTTTTGCAAAAAAAAACATTTCCACACAAAATCCAAAAAAAGACCTTTCTTCTTACCATTCTCTTACCATTAGTTAAAGCTTACCATTCCCTAACTTAATCAATTGGAAAACATATTCCATCTTAATTTCTAATCTTTATACAAAGGAAAATCTATTCACTATCCTAACACATGGGAAATTCGGGCACCGAAAAACCCTTACCATCTGAAACTTGGTATCTTAATATATTGGGAAACCTATTCCCTATGTTAACACATTGGGAAATCTATTCCCATCTTGATACATAGCTTCTAGACGGATGTTCTATTCCCTATCCTAATACATGGGTGTCTGCACCCAACCCCCCTCCCACTTCCCACTCCTCTACTACTTATAAAAGAACACACTGAATTACAGCAATAAATTTAAAATAATTTCACTTATAACAAAATTGATTTCAGCACGGGAAAATTCCGGGAAGTTGGCACGTATGCTGACCAAAAATGGACATACAGACAATAGGTCGACAATAGACCAAATTTTTTAAAACAAGAAACTTGGAGCTTGACAAAAAAAAAACAGGTCCAGGCAAAGTTTGAACAGAGGACCTATCTTTTGTCTAAAAGTGCCGGAAAAGCAAAGCAACAGATACCTTGAAAAAAGTCAATGAACGCAAAAACAGAAAACTGATTTTTTTTTCAAAAAACTTCAAATTGCAAACTGCAAACTGAAAAAAAGATTCGGCCTTAACACTTTATCAATTTCGAGACAAATTTATGATTGACGCTTTTTGAAACAGCCAATCCAAGATTGGAAAAGAGTAATGAACTCAAGTAAACATAAGAAAAACATTAACTTTATTGAAAAAATCTCAGCTTTCGAATTTCAAAGGAAACATAGCCAATCGAAGTAATGAACGCAAGTAAATTAAAAAAAACACAGATTTTCTTAAAAAATCTTAACTTTCAAATTCAAAGAAAAAAAATGATGCCCTTTAAGCTCGTTGAATTTCTAGAACAATTTATGATTGGCGCCTTTTTTAGATAACATTAACCCAACTTGAGATAACTGGATCAACAGGTAAAGTTTTTATTCCGCTGGAAATCTAAAAAATGAATTCCACTTTCGAAACAAGAAACTGTTCACGTTTTCTGCGCCAATTCCACGTTTGCATTTGGAGAGTGCTATTTACGTCACTTTCAGCAGATGAATTTCAATTGAACCCAGAGACATTCAACAAAGACATTCATCAAATATATACCCAAGTGCATTCATAAATGCATCAATATGTATGAATGCACATCTGTAGTTATTAGGGCATTTTAGACTTCATTACTCGTTCTTACTCAAAACAAAATTAACTTAATTTGAGAAAATTTGATCGATAGATAAAATTTTTATTCCGCTGAGGAATCTAAAAATTAAAATCCACTTTCGAAACTAGAAGTTGATCACGTTTTTCGTGACCTCAACACTTTTGCTCTTCGATAGTAGAGTTTGCCTTCCGTTTAACAGAGGAAATTAAGTCAACCTAAAAAGAAATTAAAAAATTGCCAGAACCTATATAAGAGAGTTCACTACTTTCATGACTATTAATCATAATATTAATTCAGATCATAAGCACAATTTTGCAACAATTAAGTATAAACGAGCAAATACGGGCAGGGGAAATGCGGTAAAAATGAGTAACTAACTAGTTGTTAATCAGTTCATGATCCGGCGGCAGTATATAATGAGTTCATGATCATGAACAGACAATTTGTTGTAAAAAAAAAGCTAGCTTTCGATTACAAGACACTTGCTCTCGTTAGTGTATTAATATGAATCACTTAATACAATTTTCTTTCGCAGAAATTTGCTTTTCTTACTTTAATGCACTGTTCAGCAAGGTCTCTGGCAGTTCGGCTTTTAATTAGAATCTGTGGGGCGATCAAAAGCCTGTCACACAGGGATTTAACCGCACCATCGACTTGGACAATTCTTCTAGAACATTCTGCGGAAACGTCCAGGTAATACGTCATTGCTCGAGCACACACTTCCAAAGTCGAGATGACCTCTTCGTTGGGACAGAGGTTGTTGTTCCCACTGATCATTATATGGCATAAAGCAGGCAGGAAAGTTCTAGGCGGGCACAGTTCAAAGCATCGGTCAATGTTGTCACTCATCAGTAGAACCATGCACAACTGTTCCAATGCCACCTGTTGCATGCCCCCTCCTGAACTGCCCCCGTCATCTCCTCCGTCCTCGTCCGGGGGAATGGCAGGTGTCTGTAACCACTCTAAGAGTACGTCCGGGTCTATTTCACTCAGAGACATCCCCTCGCCTAACCTCACCTGTCGATGTCTCTGCGTAAAAGTAAGTTGAGTTTTTCGCTTTCTGTTGTGTTGAGCTTGATTACTGACACAAGACCAAACTCAATCTGATCTGAAAGTTACAACAGCGTGCTATGAATTAGTCTTATAATTTTGCTGATATTTTCTCAACACTGGCGAAAGCTAAGAACATTCTAGAATGCACACACGTGAGTCAACCCAGTTTTGGAGAATGCAAAAAAAATCAGCTGATTGATTTGAAACAAAATCTGGAGAGGTAGGTCAACACGTTACCTGTATTTGGGTTTAACAGTGGAAGATATTATCTGAACGTGACCAAGAGCTATCTGATTCCCTTCTTAACCAATGATAAAGAAGCTGAACCAATGGTTATCAAAAGGGCTAACGATTTATATCCTTCAAGTTTGGAGACATATAGATTCTCGATATCATGAGATTTTTTTGGGTGGAGCAACATCTCTACACTCCTTTCTTTAAGCCTACAAAGCAAATGAGACAACAGGGTTTTCCCTGATGAGTGGTTTGACAGTGCGGACAAGCTCGAGAATGAACATTTACATCCATAAGAAGCCTTTGTCAGTTAACTGAGAAGCAACAACCCTCATGATAAAGACTTTAAGGATTATCAGAACTTGAGATCAAGTGGACTTGATGAGCAGCAAGCACTAAAGAAACTTCATATCATGTCAGTACCTACATCTGGATGGGATAATTACAAACATTTAGAGCAGATTTGGCAGAAACATGGAATAACTACATTTAAAGATTTTTTGCAGTGGTTACAACAGCAAAGATGTTGTTCCAACCATTGAAGGAATGCAACAAATGATTTAGCAATGCAAAAAATGGAAGGAAATTGATAGGTTAAAACTTCGATAAACTCTTCCAAATCTGGCAAATATTTGTCTGCACAAGTCAACCAATGAAAAATTCTACCCATTTTGCGAAAGTGATAGATTTGTGCGAGAAAATTAGAGAGTATATGACGGGTGGACCATCAATTGTGTTTACGCGAAAAGCTGGTGTGGACAAAACCTTATCATGGATTTATCAAATATCTGCAAATCAATCGTTGGAATTGATGCGAGCCAGCTCTATCCCTATTCAATGTGTCAAGATATGCCAACAGGATTGTACATAAGATGGGAGTTTGATTCCGATAACCAAAAAAAAATCAAGGCTAGACATAACCGATCTCGCAATTATGAGAACATGGTCATGTCTTTTTACTAAGAAACAAAACCAGAATGCAGAATTGAGAGCTTCCGGAAATCAAAAGAAAATTGACTGCTTCAATGTAGATGGATTTTGCGATCACATCTTAAGCTTCAAGCTATGGAATATTATTACCACTTCTCTCCCTGCCAGGAGACTCGTCCCTCATTGAGCGATGAAGATAATGAGAGAAAAACCAAAACGAGAGATGGATGACTTGAAACGGGAGTCTATTCGCGTGAAAGGATAAGTCGAAGAGATGTGGGAATATGAGTGATGGCAAAAGTTCAAAACGAACGAAGAAATTAAGAATCATATCCAATCCAACTTGCCCTACAAAAGGCCTTTCTCTCTCTCTCTCTCTCTACTGAATCTTTATTAGAGAAAATAAGAGATGGATCCCTTCTGGCTATATTCAGTGTGACTTAATTGTTCCAGATGAATTGAAAGCAAAATTTGCAAATTTTCCTCCAATTTTCAAAAACACTGAAGTTGAAGAAAAATATTTTGAGGAATATTAGCAAAATTCTGCCATTGAAAATGATTCTCTTAAGCATCCCCAGCGAATGCTAATATCTAGTTTCAAACCAGAAAATGGTTCCATCATTACTCCTCTCTTCAATTTCTATATGGAACTTGGTTTACAGTGTACAAATCTACCTCGAAAATGCTTCAACAAATTTGTCCAGTCAGCTGTTCATGCTAGAAGGGAAGGAGATGAGAACCCTTCATCAGGAGTTGTTGCAGAGACTATGAAACTATTAGGTAAATCATCCTACGGTTACCAGACAATGGATAGATCGAGACATACGAGTATGAGATAACACACAAATCAATTATTGAACCACTCATCAGAAAAACTTGAACAAGGTTGAGTTAGTGAAGTCAACAATTGAGCAATAAAATCCATAATTGTCGGATTTTTCATTCAGCAGTATTCAAAGCTGAGAACGCTTGAGCTTTACTACGTTTTTTTTCGACAAGTTTTGTGATGAAAATAAGTTTCAGGAATTAGAAATAGACACGGATTCGCTGTATTCAGCTCTTGCTGAGGAAAATTTGAATGATTGTATTCGTCCGGAGACACTTGCTGAGGAAAATTTGAATGATTCTATTCGTCCGGAGAAAAAAAGATGACTGGGAAAAATTGAGAGAAAATGACTGCAGAGATTCATTGGTAGCAGATTCAAAAACAAACATTTTTCCACGAATATGTAGCGCTCACAAACACGACAAACGAGAGCCTGGGCTGTTGAAAGAAGAATTTAGGTGTACGGAGATGCAGTGTTTATGTAGCAAGACTTATTGTTGCTATGACAACAAGTCAGACAAGACGAAACTTTGCAGCAAAGGATTGAATAAAAGAGTTCTAGAGGAATCCGGCGATGGACGCATGGCAAACTACAGGAGCGTACTCGACAAAGCAATCAACTTGACTTCAACAAACAGAGGATTTAGGACCATTAATCATATGGTTGCTACATAGGAGCAGACAGGGTTGAGTTATTTTTACCCAACAAGACAAGTTCAGGATGACACAAAACATTTGAACTTGTAAATATCTGGTAGTCTAGCTGCATTCAATGCAGTATTGATTAACCAACTGTAAACTTGTGGTAAAATGATTAAACGAAGCAGATGATATACTTTATCTTTTGAATTTAACTTCATTTCTCAAAAACTTGATTTTTTCTCGAAGTTTCGTTAGGTTTAAGTATAGTTCCAGCTAGATAGAGCATTGTCTTAAAAATAAAGATTACCTAATAAAATAGTTAATGCTCAAAGTATATCAAATCTTGTCGTGTTTTGAAACTTTTTTTAAATAAATTCCAATTTTACTACCTTGTAACGCAACTCCGCTGCTTCGAATTTTCAACAACTCAAAAAACTATTCTTAGAGTGTACTCTGACAGCACCCTATTAGTGTTCGTAATTACAAACTCTGCAAAAATTTTTTATTCAAGTTTTATACAAATTTTGAAGAACCATAGAATTTATTTGACAAACAATAAGTTTTATTCAAGTTCTTCGAAAAATTCAAAATGAACTAAGAAACGTCACATCTGGGAAACTGAAAGCAACGAATTATTTTGTAATTTAAGATTTCTGAAAATTTCCAAAAAAAATCACAGAAATCGTCGTATCTCTTTAACAAAAATGAATTGAACATTCTTAACCGGTGGCCAAATTTGCAACCCCTAAGATTACTCTGACAGCCCCAACTACAGGTTACGAAATTCAAACTTTGAAAAAAAAGTGATTTGATTTTCATGAATTTTTAAAAAAAAATCACAAATCAAAAATCAAAACGTCATATCTGGAAAGCTACAAGGATTTTAGCTGTCAAATTGGGATGCAAAACTCGCAACTCCTGATAGTAACCTGACAAAGCCTCAATACAGAAATGATAATTTCAAGTTTTGTGAAATTTTTTGAAAAACCTAAAAAAACGTCATATCTCAAAAACAACAAGAGATTGAGCAGCCATATTCAGAGGCAAGATTTGCAACCCCCTGAGAGTACCCTCACAGATTCCAATAACATGATTGAGATCTCCAAACTTTTGGAATTTTTTAACATTCAAGTTTTTTTGAAAATTTTGAAGAAAATAATAAAAAACGTCATATCTCAAAAACTACACGGATTTGAGCAGTCATATTGGGCTATAAACTTCGCAACTCCTGAGAGTACCCTGACAGAGTCTCATTACAGAGATGGTGTTTTCAAGTTTTGTTAAACTTTTTATATCTAAGTTTTCTGAAAAATTTTGAAAAAAAAAACAAAAAACGTCATATCTCGAAAACTACAAGGATTTGAGCAGCCATAATTAGAGGCAAGATTCGGAACCCTTGACAGTACCCTCACAATATCTAACAACAGGATTGAGATCTTCAACGTTTTGGAAGTTTGTAAAATTAAGTTTTTGAAAACTTTTTAAAAAAATCAAAAACACGTCATATCTCAAAACTACAAAGATTTGAGAAGTGAGAATCGGAGGCAAGAGTCACAACCCCTAAATTAAATTTCTAAATTAAAATTTCTAGAAATTTTTGAAAAATCTCGAAAATTGCCTATCTCGTAAAAAGATTTGGTTATTCATATATGGAGGCCAGAATCGCAAAACCTGGGAAAACTCTGACAATATCCTAATGTTGTGTTGCTAATTTCAAACTTGATGATATAAGCACTGAATTTAAACTGGAAAATTGAAAAAAAAACCGTAACCATTGCAATATACGATATAACTTAAACGTGAAAAAATTCTTTTGTTAAACATGCAGAAATAATACGTTGAAAAAGCTTAAACATGACGAGATAATGAAGCCCACTTTAAATATATAAAAGATAGATAGATAATAGATGAAAGTTAAAAAATTAGGCGACGGGTAGACAGACATAATCAAATTAATTTAAAAAGCAGGTATACAGACAGAGACAGACTTAATTTGGGCTCGGAAAAAACTGAAAAATTAATGACCTTGCGGAAAACTAATTGAAAAATTTTCTTAAGCATTGCAAGGTATGATACAAATTAAACATGAAAAAATTCTTTAGTTAAACATGCAAAATTATTATGCTTAAACATGGGAGATAGCTGTGACTCGCATTTAAATATAGTAAAGATTGATAAAAAAACTCTAACCATTGGTTTACCATGAACCAAAATCATAATACCTTCATTCCACAATCTACACGTACTACTGATACTCACCTATTAAATAACTCGGGCTGAGATTTTTGCAAAAAAAAACATTTCCACACAAAATCCAAAAAAAGACCTTTCTTCTTACCATTCTCTTACCATTAGTTAAAGCTTACCATTCCCTAACTTAATCAATTGGAAAACATATTCCATCTTAATTTCTAATCTTTATACAAAGGAAAATCTATTCACTATCCTAACACATGGGAAATTCGGGCACCGAAAAACCCTTACCATCTGAAACTTGGTATCTTAATATATTGGGAAACCTATTCCCTATGTTAACACATTGGGAAATCTATTCCCATCTTGATACATAGCTTCTAGACGGATGTTCTATTCCCTATCCTAATACATGGGTGTCTGCACCCAACCCCCCTCCCACTTCCCACTCCTCTACTACTTATAAAAGAACACACTGAATTACAGCAATAAATTTAAAATAATTTCACTTATAACAAAATTGATTTCAGCACGGGAAAATTCCGGGAAGTTGGCACGTATGCTGACCAAAAATGGACATACAGACAATAGGTCGACAATAGACCAAATTTTTTAAAACAAGAAACTTGGAGCTTGACAAAAAAAAACAGGTCCAGGCAAAGTTTGAACAGAGGACCTATCTTTTGTCTAAAAGTGCCGGAAAAGCAAAGCAACAGATACCTTGAAAAAAGTCAATGAACGCAAAAACAGAAAACTGATTTTTTTTTCAAAAAACTTCAAATTGCAAACTGCAAACTGAAAAAAAGATTCGGCCTTAACACTTTATCAATTTCGAGACAAATTTATGATTGACGCTTTTTGAAACAGCCAATCCAAGATTGGAAAAGAGTAATGAACTCAAGTAAACATAAGAAAAACATTAACTTTATTGAAAAAATCTCAGCTTTCGAATTTCAAAGGAAACATAGCCAATCGAAGTAATGAACGCAAGTAAATTAAAAAAAACACAGATTTTCTTAAAAAATCTTAACTTTCAAATTCAAAGAAAAAAAATGATGCCCTTTAAGCTCGTTGAATTTCTAGAACAATTTATGATTGGCGCCTTTTTTAGATAACATTAACCCAACTTGAGATAACTGGATCAACAGGTAAAGTTTTTATTCCGCTGGAAATCTAAAAAATGAATTCCACTTTCGAAACAAGAAACTGTTCACGTTTTCTGCGCCAATTCCACGTTTGCATTTGGAGAGTGCTATTTACGTCACTTTCAGCAGATGAATTTCAATTGAACCCAGAGACATTCAACAAAGACATTCATCAAATATATACCCAAGTGCATTCATAAATGCATCAATATGTATGAATGCACATCTGTAGTTATTAGGGCATTTTAGACTTCATTACTCGTTCTTACTCAAAACAAAATTAACTTAATTTGAGAAAATTTGATCGATAGATAAAATTTTTATTCCGCTGAGGAATCTAAAAATTAAAATCCACTTTCGAAACTAGAAGTTGATCACGTTTTTCGTGACCTCAACACTTTTGCTCTTCGATAGTAGAGTTTGCCTTCCGTTTAACAGAGGAAATTAAGTCAACCTAAAAAGAAATTAAAAAATTGCCAGAACCTATATAAGAGAGTTCACTACTTTCATGACTATTAATCATAATATTAATTCAGATCATAAGCACAATTTTGCAACAATTAAGTATAAACGAGCAAATACGGGCAGGGGAAATGCGGTAAAAATGAGTAACTAACTAGTTGTTAATCAGTTCATGATCCGGCGGCAGTATATAATGAGTTCATGATCATGAACAGACAATTTGTTGTAAAAAAAAAAGCTAGCTTTCGATTACAAGACACTTGCTCTCGTTAGTGTATTAATATGAATCACTTAATACAATTTTCTTTCGCAGAAATTTGCTTTTCTTACTTTAATGCACTGTTCAGCAAGGTCTCTGGCAGTTCGGCTTTTAATTAGAATCTGTGGGGCGATCAAAAGCCTGTCACACAGGGATTTAACCGCACCATCGACTTGGACAATTCTTCTAGAACATTCTGCGGAAACGTCCAGGTAATACGTCATTGCTCGAGCACACACTTCCAAAGTCGAGATGACCTCTTCGTTGGGACAGAGGTTGTTGTTCCCACTGATCATTATATGGCATAAAGCAGGCAGGAAAGTTCTAGGCGGGCACAGTTCAAAGCATCGGTCAATGTTGTCACTCATCAGTAGAACCATGCACAACTGTTCCAATGCCACCTGTTGCATGCCCCCTCCTGAACTGCCCCCGTCATCTCCTCCGTCCTCGTCCGGGGGAATGGCAGGTGTCTGTAACCACTCTAAGAGTACGTCCGGGTCTATTTCACTCAGAGACATCCCCTCGCCTAACCTCACCTGTCGATGTCTCTGCGTAAAAGTAAGTTGAGTTTTTCGCTTTCTGTTGTGTTGAGCTTGATTACTGACACAAGACCAAACTCAATCTGATCTGAAAGTTACAACAGCGTGCTATGAATTAGTCTTATAATTTTGCTGATATTTTCTCAACACTGGCGAAATCTAAGAACATTCTAGAATGCACACACGTCAAACTAACGCAGCAACTCAAGACTTGGTGTGAACTGTTCTATGTTCAAACGAACAAACTGGCGGTAGAAAACAGAGTGCAAGTTGAACAGTTTAATTCGGACTATTTGCGGCACGTCACTGTCATTATGCACACTGCACGAAAACGTGAACAAATTTAAATGAGCACAAATAGTACTGAATAGCAACTGGATCTTCCTGCTTCAGCTGGATTGGTGCTATCCTCTACTTCTTCTTGGACACACCCACAGTCCGTCCCCTTCTGCCGGTGGTCTTGGTGTGTTGACCTCTCACTCTCAGTCCCCAGAAGTGTCTTAGACCTCGGTGGCACCTGATCTTCTTCATTCTTTCCAAGTCCTCTCGCAACTTGTTGTCCAGAGCATTGGAGATAAGCTGCCCAGATTTGCCGTCCTTGATGTCACGTCGTCTGTTTAACATCAGAATATCTTATTTATGGCTGCTGTTCAATAAAGCAGTGTAGATAAGTATGCAGTTTAAAGATACCTTCTAAAAATTTGTGAAATCCTCAAATTCGCCTCAAATTGGGTTAGATTTTGCGATAAAAAATTGTCAAAGACAAAAGATGCAAGGATACTTTAAATAATTATTATGGCTCAGTTTTGTTCGCCCTGAAAATAGGTAGTTTTCTCCGGATTGATTTGAGCATTAATTACGTAAGCACCCGTTCAAACTCAATACAATATATCAAAATAAGCGTCTTGCTTAAAACAGCAAAATTTAACACAGAAGCGAAGCTATTAAACAGAGGCGAAGCGGCACTTCGTGTCACCTGTGATCAACCAAAAACATGGCATTGCAGGCAAGCCGACAAAATAAGAGACACCAAAAAACTGAATGGTTGGTAAAATATTATAAACTCAGATCAATCGTATAATACCGGAAGTGAATAACTTCAACCCTAGCCACGTATTAGATTTGAAAATGGATTCCGAATAAAACATGCATGTCAAACAGGCGCACAGCATATATTTCGTGAGAAAGCGTTTGTTATGGATTAGGAAACTTGAGACACTAGCTCTCGCAAAAATATACGAATCGGTCACAAAGGTGAAAATACTTGAAAAGAAACCTTTTGAGCCGGAAAAAAAATGTTTTAATCAAAAAACTTGTAACTCGAAAAACAAATGTAGTCCCCTCTCTCAAAAAACACACACTTAGAAAAACTATTAGCTCAAATGACGCTGATGCGGACACAAAGCCGATATAATTTAGGACAAAAACTTTGGAGCCGATAAAAAATTTCAAAAAATCGGAGTTCGTTAAGTTACAATCAACTTTAGACAGTTTCGAAAAGAACGAGAATTTTAAATGCACACATGCTCAAAATATGCCAGTTGAGGGACGAATTCCAACGTAAATATTGATGGATCACCTGAAATTCGAGATCCTGTGAATAAAGTTATTTGAGGAAAAAGTCTAGTACCCGCGTGCCATAACCTTGCTAATCGCAAGAGTAAAAAAAATTATTACCATAATTATTATACAATTTTTTTGCTTTCAGGTCAATTTATTTTGCAATCAAAAATAATTCTAAAAAAGGCATATTTTATCCCCCCTAAATAATTATTTTGTCTCGAGTGACAACTCACTTAGAGAAAACCGTATCAATAAAGACAATTGTCAGAATAAAAATAGCCGTAAAAAAGTTTCGCAGCGGTATTTAGATCGACACTATGTGGATAGACCATCGTTGAGCCGAAAAATTTCATAGAAGCTTGAGCTGTAAGAAACTTTAAAAATCAAGGTTTTTAACACAGACGCAAAGCTGATTTTCGCACCACTTAGCTACAACAATCCATAATTAAAACAGCAAGACACCGAACAACTAGCAAAGAGGAATTCGAACGATGTTTACCCTTGAAAAAAATCTAGAAAATTGAACAAAATCAAAAGTTATTAATGTTTAAATGTAATGAAAAGTTGTTTTCAAGCCCTCAAATTGTATTTAACGTGATCGCTTGAAAAATTGACACCAAGGTCTAATCGAATTTCAAAATAATTTAAGCCAACGGAATAAAAGACGGCAGTCAAAGGGCGACGGAATTAAGGCCGGCAGTCTATAAGCTAAAATTCAACTAAAAAATTTCGCCAAAAATTGCGAAAACATGTACTGCCCATATAGTGTCAACGACTGCCATAGATGTACTTAACGCAAGGTGGTTAACACATTTCGCAAACTAAACCGAGTGCTTAATTAATAACAAAAGCCAAAAACCATCAGCCAAAAAGAATGATATCGAAATTCTATAATTCAAGATGCAACCAGATCAATCAAAATGTATAAAGATAGTTTCGAAGAAAAAAAATGGCCACAGAATAGACTGCAAAATAAGCATCGAAAAAAAAACTGACCAAGCAGTAACAAAGCCGAAATATCTGAGCAGAAACCGTTCATACCGAAAAAAAAATAAAACGTATCAAGTTTCTCTCTACATGAAAACACACTCACTATTGGTATTATTATGATTTTTATTATCAAAAAAACAGAGCCGAAGCGGAGCTTCACAACACTTGCGATGCAAGTCACACTTTGCGGTACAAAACAGGTGAATGAAAAAAAAGTTGAGTTAAAAAAAATTAAAAAATATGTTGGAAAAAATTACCTTAACTTAGAACTCAAAATTGTATCGGATGAAGCCGAAAACAAAACTGCTGTCATAAAAACTTCATACATTTTAAAAGCGTTTGGGACCCATCCGATTGAAACAAACAATCTCAAAAGGAAATAAATTGCCCTCGAAATTACTCAAAATAAGTTGACTAAGTCGATATAACATAAACTCAAAATCATAGTAAATTTACAATTTGCGAAGTTGCAGTTATTCTAAAAACTGTTCAAATTGGAACAAAACCCATGCTATGAAAAGTAAACCAATAAAAATCCTACCAGATAAAAATGGCGTTAAAAACGGAAGATGAACCGACAGAAACTAGGACGAATACCACAACCCCGAAAAAAAATTAGAAACTTTTTTGAAAACATAATTACAACCTGAAACAGGCTTGAACAAATTAGTACTTACAAGATAGTACTTTTAATTAAATTTAGAAAATCATTAGCAGAAGTGAAGATCCTGTGGACAAAGTTGTTTACGGGAAAAAAGTATAGTAGCCGATTGTGATACCCTTGCTTATCCCAAGGTTAATTATTATTATTTGATTATTATTACACAGAGGCAAAGCTGCGCTTCACAGACACGAGGGAAGAAAATTGTAAGAAAAACAGACTAAACACTAACCACCAATAAAGCAGCAAAAATCCAGCAAAAAAAACCCATTCAATGTTCCGGATTTGCAACTCTGACCTGATAATTAGGAGTTTCACTTGCGTCCTCGCATCTGCGCCACGGTCACTTAAAAGTAAGCTAGTGGCCCGCCTAATGCTGGATAATCCAGTTTTAATATTTTTAATCACATTTAGTACTGATACGGAAATGGGTAATTTCCAATATTTCAAAAAATGAACTTCACGCAAAACCTTAGTAATTTCTCTGCATATTAGGATATTAGACGCGTATTTGAAGGAAAAAACTACAACTCGCTCTCACTATTCAAATTGAATTCTCTATCTCAGATTTGGCTGGGTAGTTTTCGAAAAAAAAAGAAATTCCAATAAACGATCAAAAAATGAAAAACTTGACTTTTTAAGCCCATAAACTTTTCTCTACTTAAGCATGGGTATAACCTCTAGCAGGGAAAAGTTCCCAGCCCTGATTTTTAAATTGAGCCCGTAATATCAAATTGAAGCAGTAGTTTTGGAGACAAGGATGAAACATCGGCTTTTCTTTCGGTCAAAACCATAATCTCCGATTTGGCGGGGTAGTTTTAGAAAAAAGTTTCAAGAATTAAGCAAAATGTCAAAAAAGTGGCCTTTTCAGGCCATAATAATTCTACCGAATTTAGGGAATAACTGCTTGAGAAAAGCGGGTATCCCCATCATTTGTTTTTTACATTGAATCCATCTTCGGAAATTTATGCATTTAGTTTTTTACATTTAATCCATAGATGCCGTCTGTGTAATAATAATCAAATAATAATACAGAGGCAAAGCCCTCACTATTCCATTCATGCATTGAGAAATTTACGCATTGAGAAAATGAAAAAACTCAAAACATAGGTCAAAAATTCTTCTACTGAAAATTTCGAAAGACGTAGAACGTGGGGTAACTAAAAAGAAACTAGTTAAATGTACAGGCACATAGAAGGGCAGCCGGTTTGTCCATTGGCACGACATTTTGAAAAATGTTAGTTTTTTTTTTTTAGAAAAAATGAAATTTCCGCGAAAAGAGCAAAAACTTTCTAAAGCTTTGCAATGAAACAAAACCCATGCATTTTCATATTACCGGTTTCTTCAGATAGGACCTAACACTATCCATAAACAAAGCAACAACAAGTGCTATCAAAATGCTTAAACAGGCATAAATATGATTACATTTAGTACTGATACGGAAATGGGTAATTTCCAATATTTCAAAAAAAGAACTTCACGCAAAACCTTAGTAATTTCTCTGCATATTAGGATATTAGACGCGTATTAGAAGGAAAAAACTACAACTCGCTCTCACTATTCCATTTGAATTCTCTATCTCAGATTTGGCTGTGTAGTTTTCAAAAAAAAAAGAAATTCCAATAAACGATCACAAAATGAAAAACTTGACTTTTTAAGCCCATAAACTTTTCTCTACTTAAGCATGGGTATAACCTCTAGCAGGGAAAAGTTCCTAGCCCTGATTTTTAAATTGAACCCGTAATATCAAATTGAAGCAGTAGTTTTGGAGACAAGGATGAAACATCGGCTTTTCTTTCGGTCAAAACCATAAATCTCCGATTTGGCGGGGTAGTTTTAGAAAAAAGTTTTTAAAATTAAGCAAAATGTCAAAAAGTTGGCTTTTTTGAGGCCATAATATTTCTACCGAATTTAGGGAATAACTGCTTGAGAAAAGCGGGTATCCCCATCATTTGTTTTTTACATTGAATCCATTTTCGGAAAATTATGCATTTAGTTTTTTACATTTAATCCATAGATGCCGTCTGTGTATTAATAATCAAATAATAACACAGAGGCAAAGCTCTCACTATTCCATTCATGCATTGAGAAATTTATGCATTGAGAAAATGAAAAAACTCAAAACATAGGTCAAAAATCCTTCTACTGAAACTTTCGAAAGCCGTAGAACGTGGGGTAAATAAAAAGAAACTAGCTAAATGTACAGGCACATAGAAGGGCAGCCGGATTGTCCATTGGCACAATTTTTTTGAAAAACGGTAGTTTTTTTTAGAAAAGTTGAAATTTCCGCGAAGAGCAAAAACTTTCCAAAGCTTTGCAAAAAAAAACCCATGCATTTTCATATTACCGGTTTCTTCAGGTAGGACCTAACACTATCCATAAACAAAGCAACAACAAGTGCTATCAAAATGCTTAAGCAGGCATAAATATGATTAAATTGAAATATACTAAAAATGTCACCAAATGAGCATTTTTTATTTGCGACTTCGGGTAGAATAAAAATTCTTCGCCTGTCTCATTATGATTATTTTTATTACACAGAAGCGAAAGTTTGCTTTGCAAACACTTGCGAGAATACGACCAAAAAGCGGCTCTTTCAAGTGAAAAAGGAAAAACTAGAAATAAACCTCGAATTAGCAAATACTCGGCTACGTGTCGGATTCGAATCTGCGACATAGCAAATTTGAGTCTCACGCACTAACCACTCAGCCACGGATACTTTAAATCCTCAAAAACTAGCCACCAATAACGCAGCAACATATGCTAATAAATTGCCGATTTCACTCTACAGAGAAAAATTTTTCGCCCATGAAACGCCGCAATAAGAGTCCACTAAGCCGATATACAATAGGCCGAAACTTAAGCCGAACATAAAAACAACAAAAAATCGGGTTGGAAAAACTACAACCAACATAAAAAAAAACGAATTTCAAAAAGACGGGTTTTTAAAATACTGAAAAACTCAAACCATGCATAACATTGGCAACAGAGATGAGGAGGAATTGCAATGATGACAAAGAGCTGACTGAGTCCAGTAGTGAATTCTGTGAAAAAAGTTAATTACGGGTAAAAATTTGTATCCAATTGCAATACCCTATGCTTATCGCGCGAATAAAAAATTCCCCTTATACCTGAAAAAAATCTTTGCCTTCAAATGACGAGATATGAGGAGACTTTGTCGATAGACCATAGCCAATCGAAGATTGGAAAAGAGTAATGAACGCAAGTTAACAAGAAAAAAAAACACTGAATTTTTTTAAAAAAAATCCTAACTTTCGAATTTCGAAGAAAAAAAATAGATGCCAATTAAACTTTTTGGATTTCTAGAACAATTTATAACTGGCGCCGTTTTGATAACTTGAAACCAACTAGAGAAAACTGGATCAAAAGGTAAATAAATAATCATTCACGTTTTTTCGCGCCCAATAAGACGTTCGTATTTGGGGAGTTCTATTTCAGTCAACTTCAGCAGATGAATTTCAATTGAAATCTAAAATTGCATACACATCTAAGTGCATTCATAAATGCATCAATATGTATGAATGCCAATCTGTAGTTATAAGAGACTTAAGACTTTTCCTAAGGAAAAAAAAAACGAAACAAAAATCAGCACGACCTGTAAAAGAAAAGTCTTCACTACAATAATTACACTTAAACACAAGCTTTGCTTGTGTAAAAAGAGTATGAAAAGGTCGGAACGTTCTGTGCTACATGAACAGCATCCAGCTATCCTTGTTCTATTGGTGATTAAAAATATATTTTTTTTCCATTCATTGAAATAATTTACCAACCGGCTGTGTTTTTCAATTCTATTCTGAATTTGAAAATAATTTAATCCTATGGTGAACTTAGTTGTGGGGAAATTTATCTTGTAAGGTTTTTGTCGTGAGTGAAATCGTCAGTCAAACTTAACGCAATTTAACAGCAAAAAATACTACTTGTTTTTGAATACTTTTTAACATGAAAAAATACTTGTTTTTGGAATTGCAAAGAAAAAATACACGCCTTTAGAGCTCTTTGAAATTCTAGAAAAATTTTGACTGACTTTACTGATGAACTTGACCAAAATTGATCGAAGATTGGAAAAGAGTAATGAACGCAAGTAAATTTAAAAAACACTGATTTTCTTTAAAAATCTTAACTTTCAACTTCAAGGAAAAAAATTGATGCCCTTTAATCTCGTTGAATTTTTAGAACAATTTATGATTGGCGCTTTTTTAATAACCTTAACCCAACTTGAGAAAACTGGATGAAAAAGTAAAGTTTTGAATCCGTAGGATATCTAAAAATTAAATTCCACTTTCGAAACTAGAAATCGTTCACGTTTTTTGCGCCATTTCCAAGTTCGTATTTCGAGAGTGCTATTTACGTCACTTTCATCAATATGAATGAATGCACCTCTGTAGATCATTTTAGGACTTTCTCCTGGAAAAAAAACCACCAAGACCTATATAAGAGTCTTCACTACGTTTATTACACTTAATGAAATTTGAGAAAATTTGATCAATAGATAAATTTTTTACTCCACTGGGAAATCTGAAAATTAAAATCCACTTTCAAAACTAGAAGCCAATCCAAGATTGGAAAAAAGTAATGAATGCAAGTAAACATTTAAAAAAACAGACTTTTTTGCAATAATCTCAACTTTCGAATTCCAAAGAAAAAAATAGATGCCCTTAAAGCTCTTTAATTTTCTAAAACAATTTATGATTGGCGCTTTTTTTGATAACATGAACCCTAGAGAAAACTGATCCAGAGAAAACTGGATCAATAGGTTAAGTTTATATTCCGATAGAAATCTACAAATTAAATTCCAATTTAAGCAGATTAATTTCAATTGAACTCAAAAAGTGCATAGATACTTAAGTGCATCAATATTTTATAACTTTTTCCTGAGAAAAAAGCAAAAAAAAATCAGTAAGACCTATATAAAAGTCTTCACTATGTTCATTACTCTTAAAAACGAACCAAATTATTTTAAGACTAATCAACATATCAACGTTAGCTGAAGAAAGCAAACAAAAAACGATGAAAAAATTGAAATTTTATAAAATCACTTAGTACGGGAATTTAATAGCCTCAAAATAAGTCTGTTAATGTAGAAAGGCCTCTCATACGAGATGAGACATTTGAACAAAGTTTTTTAATCAGGAAAAAATCCAGTACCAGGTTGTATCTTGTAGTTCGACTTTTATTTGTAATTTGCGATCATGACACGATAGCATTTGGAAACGTAAAACAATATTCGGCAAAAACTTTCAAGCAATAGTAGTTAATTGAACACTTTTCAATGAAAATTTTGCTCTTCTGAAGTTTCAAATGATGAATTGGTATAGAGTTATGCGGCCCAGTTACCTGTTGAGAAAGAAGTGGGGAATCTTGTACTCCAAGGGGTTGTTGATCACCAAGGTCATCTGCTCGATCTCGCGCTCAGTCAACTCTCCCGCCTTTTTGCACGGGTGGATGTCTGCCTTCTTGCACACCAGCAGAGCATAGGCATGGCCAATTCCCCTCACTACTGTTAAAGCATGTGAGATCTTATCCTTTCCATCAATGTTTGTGTTAAACAGACGCAAGATGTGCTGAAATTTTTCGGGTTCAACCAGAGCTGACATTGCAAATCTGAAAGAAAAAGCATTTACTTCAGTGAAAGCAGCAATGTACACGTTTACCGAAAAAACTCAAATTATTTCACCTCGGTATTACTTAGGCAAGTAAAACAAAGATATTACGAGGTCTTAAGTGAAGATAAAGCTACATAAGCACTTCCACTCGCAAGAGAATGCGAGAAAACTGAATGGCCTCCTAAATTCTTTGTGAGTAAACAATTACTACACCAATCAACAGAATTGAACCTCCCAATATAAGATATGGATAAAAATGGATTATTTCTCCGTGGTTGAAATAGATTTTCAAGCGATTAGCTCGCGACACTCAAAAATAAACTGTCTCCCACAACATTTTTATTAACAACTCTATTATGCAATACAAAATAGGCTTCAGAGATTGGCGAAGACAAATACCCCAACGAATCAGCACAGTCAATTAATTTAGAGAATGGCCAAGTAGTGCAGCCAGAGATCAAATGCAAGTAATTCTTGGCAAGATCATCTTCTACGATCTCGACTTGAATGCCTGCTTCGCTTGGACTTGGAAGATGATTTTCTCCTACTTCCAGCCGATTTGGATCTCGATCTGAAAACACACAGAACCCGCGCTTGTCTATTAGTTTGTGGACAGCAGCTCTGACGAATAATTAAATTTCGGAACGACACTAACAATACGAAGAAATACCGAAATGTACCTCAAGTTGTTCATGTTTTACCTAGACCTAGAACTGCCTCGTTTACGACTCCTTCCACTGCTACTTTTCTTGTCCTTCCGTTCCCCATTCTTTGATCGTGACTTCGACCTTGACCTTGTCCTCGATCGTGACCTCTTCCTTCTGCTTGACCTCGATCGTGATCTGTTCCTTGACGATTTCGAAGAGTTTGAGCTGCGAGAACTGTCTGAGGAGGAAGATGAAGAAGATGAACGGCTTCGGGATTTTCTGAAAAAAAAAAACTTAAAAATAGATCAAGACGTAAATAGCCCAAAAAATCGGATATAACGGTTGCATATTTTATATAAAGGCGAAGCAGAGCTTCGCACTACTTGCGATACCACACTGACAAATTATTTCAAGTTCGCAAGCAGAATTGAAACGTAAGCCAAAAAGTCGGGAAAAAATGTCAAAAAAGTCACAAATATCCAAAAGTCCAAGAAGCATTCAGAAAAGTTCATCGAGCGACAACTAAGCCGACTAAACTTGGACAATCTCCCGTTGAGTCGAAAACAAAATTGAAACTTTTTTTTAAAAAAAAAGTCTGAAGACACAAAATCTATACAACATGGGCCCCGAAACTATACAACATAGGCCGAAATCACTACGGCCGAAGAAAGCTTTTAAGCAAAAAAGACCAAAAAGACCGTCAAGGGTCAGGAGTACAAAATTTACAAAATATAGGAATTAAACATAGCCAACTGACAGTTAAAAAAAGAGTAATGAACGCAATGAAACACAAAAAAAACTGAATTTTTTTTAAGTTGAATTTTCGAATTGTAAAGAAAAAATTTAAGCCCCTTGAAGCTTTGAATTTCATGAACAATTTATGCTTGGTGTTTTTTGATAACAATAACCCTATGTGAGAAAGCTGCATCAACAGGTATAACTTTCATTTCGCTGGGAAATCCGATAATGAAATTCGTTTTTCGAAATTAGAAATCGATAGTGGAGTTTGCCTTCCTTTTCAGTAATGAAATGAAAAGAACTTAAAAAGGAATCAAAGTCAAGCCGCGAAAAATTAAAATTGAGCGTGAACAAACTTTGAGACTTGTTCTTCGAAAAAAAGGATTACTAATTGCAAGCTTCATCAAATCTAAGAAATCATGCATTTACTTTTTTGTGTCTACAGTATCATTTTTCTTTTCGGGATCCTCGTTTGCTTCACTGTCGCTGTCTAAATTATACTTGGAGGCATCTCCTTCATCTTCGTCTTCATCATCCTCTTCGCCTTCTTGGATCGTGTTTTCCTTTTTAACAGCCTGAATTCGCACAGTTATCAACATTTGACAGTGTTTAATGGACATCGAACAGTTGGACATGCTCTTACTTTGCCGTCGTCTTCCGATTGCTCGTTCACCGATCTGAATTTCTTCTTTTTTCTTCCAAACTAAAATTCATACAACACACAGCCATCAGTACATCTGATAGCAATCATCGAAAAGATTCAATGGTCTGAAATAACGCTTTAGTTGCTTGATTTTGAACCAAGCACTGAATGCAGGGTGATCACTTTTTTGAGAGAAAAATAGTGACTATGACAATTTTCGAATTTTTTGTCGACCTTTGTTTTTTTAGGTCGACCAAATTAATTTTTCAAGCTCTGCCAAAGCTAAAGCACTAAAAATTCCGCAGGCATAATTTTGAATAAACGGGCTGAAAAAGTCGTTTTTAGGCACTTTTTGAAAAATTTTGAAAAAAATTGCATTTTTTCGGCGCGCGCTCCCCCCTCGATATTAGTATATATTGGCACCAAAATCGCCTTTAGAAAATTTTTAGGGTCTGCAACCACAAATGGGAAATGGATATCTCAAAATAAAACAAAGGAGGACTAAATAAAACAAATTTTAGGGTCCGTCACCAAAAACCGTTGTAAATAGTGACTTTTAGTGACCATTGAAAAAAAAGCGACCAATTAGTGACCAATAGTGACTGGTCACTAAGTCACTAAAATAGTGACCAAGTGGTCACCCTGACTGAATGACAGACCTTTTTCTTCAGGTTTTCAAAAAAAAATAGCAAGCTAACATCGTCAATTTCATCTCCAGATGAATCTCGATCAATATATTCCACGTCTTGTCGATCATTGAATCCGCCTCCGAATCCTGAAAACGACTGATTGTAATTTTTTCCATCGTAGCACAACTAAATTTTTTCTTAACGTAAAATCACCATGTGTACTGTACCCAGACAGAAAATTATGGAAACGTGTTAAAGAACTCAAGAAACAGAAAAAACTGCATGTCCTAAACAAATTTCTCAAAATTTATGAGAGGCGATGAAGGTCACATAAGCAATGCAATAAATGGTCCCAAAAATGGACAAAAATCAAGAAAATTGCCGGCCCAAAATAATCGACACAGAGGCAAGGCTCTGCACCACTTGCCATACCTCACAAACATAGCATGGCAAACTAGCAATTCGAAAAAAAAATTTTGAAAAAAATGAAACTACGCTTTCCCCGCTCCCAAAGAAGATCGCCAAGAGACAGTAGGAAAAGAGTCAATGAACGCAAGGAAACAGAAAACAAAACTGACTTATTTTGAAAAAAAAACTTCAACTTTTGAATATCAAAGTAAAACATATCACTTCAGGTGTAACTAATGATCGAATTTATGAATAAAATTAACTCAAATTGAGAAAACTGAACTGAAGGTTAAGTTTTTATTCCGCTGAGAAATTTAGAAATTAAAAACCGTTTTCGAAACACGTCTTTCCGCGGCATTTCCGTTCACGTCTTTCGATAGTCGTTCACGTCTTTCCGCGGCATTTCCACTTTCAAAATTGGAGAGCGCAATTTACCTAACTTTGAGCAGATGAATTTGAAATGAATTCAAAAAGTTCACTGTATAACTAAGTGCATTCATAAAAGCAATAACATGTAAGAATGCACATCTAAAAATATTAGAGATTTTACATGTATAGTTACTTCTCTGAAGTCGCTCAACAAAACATAGTCAGCTGTGCAATGCAAAATACAACTTCGAATTTAAACGTTTTCAAAAAAATTTCAAAAAGAAAAGATATCAAAACAAAAAATAGGTTCCTCTCGCATAGGCTAATTTGAAAACAGTTTTTGTAGAATCACACAAACAATTTACGAAAATTCAGAATTTTTTTCATTTTTTGCAGAGTTTCTGATTCCCAAATTGGCGCTAAAAGAATCCAAAAGCTAACTTTACTCGAGTATAAAACTAAGTTTTCACGGCTTAATTAAGCATAAAAAAATTTTGTACGCCAGCTTAAACTTACCTTATTAGCTTGAAATTAAACCAAAAATTTCAATCTGTTTTTTCTCGACACTGAAATTTTTTTTATGTGGTTCGAATAAAGAAAGAAAGGGCTTTAATATGATATATCACTCGACCCATTCCGATGACTATTTGTGAAACCTGATTTTGCATCGAAAACAAAAAAACTAAAACACGCCCGCCCGAATACAATTTCAAATGGTTGGAACAACAAGCTCTGAATAAGTTTCTTCACTTCGTTAATTCAGACTTATTAACAATAGGACCACTTCAAAAACCAATTTAGCGAAGCTGTCCTAATTCGATTTTTTTTTTCTCATTCGTCTTGTTTCCAAAGAAATTCTACATCAAAAACGGTCAAAACCAAAAATTAAACAAACTTTGCTAGGTAATTTTTGTGCAGCTTAGTAATTCAATTAGGAAAATATGGATATGAATCAGGCCTATACTTAAATATTTAAAGTATTTTTAACCTGTTCGCTCGTCTTCTTCAACTTTCGGGGCATTGCAAACATTACAGGTATTTCTTCTAGCCCAGTTTATATTTCCGCATCTAGAAGCAAGTAAGTTAAAAATTATTATTATTTTAATATCCTTCTGTGATCACATGAATCTAGGGGGTCGATAGAAGGATTTAACTGAACCACTCTGACTTGTTACATCTCCAGTCATCGGCTGAAAACAGCCCTCCGCTTTTCTTAGCTTCGCTTCCGCCAATTTCTTTAGCTTTCTCTTTCTTCCATGCCTTGAAATCTCTCGCTGAATTAAAATCAAAAATAATTTTAAGCGTTTTTAGAAAAATTGACGTTCAAATCAAAAGACGTTCAAAAGACTCGAAAGCGATCAAACCCCTGAAGCACCTAATTATTTCAATTAAGTCCTAAGTGAGAATCTGGCGCTGAAAACTCACCTTTTCCGCATTTGAAACATTCTGTTCTTCTAGCAAAATTCGAAGCATTGCAACTAAACAAACCGACATGAATAAAGGCTGACCAGCTATGGCATTATAACAATGTTAATTTCAGAAGCTAACTCATCTTCGTAGCAAGTCCAGTCGCCATCTCTAGAACTCGGCTGCGGCATTTCAGTTCTTAAAAGTCAGAATGTCAAAAAATATATATAAAATAATAAAATAAACTGTTTCTTTCGTTCAGGAAAAGTCTTCCTCATGTCGTTCGATTTCTTTATATGGTGCTATTTCTCAATTCATGTTATTTAAGGGGAGACCGATCGTTTAGCAGAACAATCTACTAGCATAAAAAGAGAATAATCAGTCTTTTAGCAGCCCAACATAATTGTGACATTCGACCAGAATGGACCAAAATGCAGATTCAGCATATTCGAGTTTTTAACAGCGAACCTTCCGAATTGACGGTTTTAAGCAATTAACGACGTTATTGGGACAATTAGTCAAACGGTGGAGGTCAAGATATTCTGGTATTTTGAAATTTTAAAAATTCGAAGTATGACGTCATAATAATAATAATATTAATGAAGGATTTAGGATAAGTTCCAGGGGAATTGCTTCCCTGTCACTTTCAGTTTATTGAGTCTCATAGAAAGTCAGTTTTGCAGTATTGATGCAGTTTGTGCAGTCGCAGCATAATCTCCAGGTGCAGGGGAGGTTTTCGTTGAATTTCGCAGTGAAGTAGCGCCAGTAGATAGTTGACAACTCTTTGCATTGCGTTGATTTGATGACATCTTGGTTGAGATGTCTATTAAATATATTTGAAAGTGAACATGCTCGTTGCCAAAAATCAGATTCGCATTTTTTCAGTCGGAAGCATTTGCTGGTATAAAAGGGTATTGCGTGTGATCTTGTTATGCCTGTATCAATAATCTGTACATACTTCTCCCAATCAATGTCAGTTTTCGAGTTGATAATCCTAGCAAAAAGTAAAACTACATGCATTTCATGATATAAGGACAGTGGTAGTAAGTGAAGTCTTTGAAGACGCGATTTATATGAAAGGTTGCTTGTGCCTAAAATCCAGATACTTGCTCGATGTTGAACCTTCTCAATGAGCGCCAGTTCAGACTTAGATGGTTTCCAAAGAGACGATGCATAGCTGATTATTGGCACTACATATCCTCTGTATGCATTCTTCTTAGTGCTTATGGTCGAGCTATTGGCTAGGTTTCTTTTTAAAGAGAAGAAAGCTTTTAGCGATTTAGCGGATCTAGTTTTAGCGTGTTCCGTCCAAGATAGGTTGTTTGTGACTATAAGTCCGAGATCTTTCATAAGATTCGTTCCTGGTATATTCTGTTTTTTCATGCAAACAGACATACTGCCTTTAAACTGAAGGGTTTTGCATTTACTTAGGTTCAAACTCATAAAATTCTTGGAGCACCAGTTCCAAATTTTATTCGAGTCGATATTCAGGGTTATTGCGTTGTCTGAGACAATTTTATAGTCGTCAGCATAGCCGAAGCAGTTGGACATGGCCACCGTTGGCAGGTCATTGATGTACAAAATAAACATGAGTGGGCCAAGTATTGATCCCTGCGGAACCCCACTTGTTATTGGCAGTAATTTTGAGATGCAATGCCCGATTCGCACCTGCTGGTATCTATCACTGAGATAGTTTTTCAGTAGACCAAGGCACGCGCCACTGAAGCCAGTATGAGAAAGCTTTTCAATTAGTTTCAGGTGGTTGACTTTATCAAACGCCTTTTCAAAATCGAGATACAGGGATGAAAGGTTATTTACATTCTTGTTGTCATACATTAGATAGATTTCGTGGAGATAGAGTATGATGTTAGTAATGGTTGAGCGTTTCGTTCTGAAACCGTGTTGTGAGTTATGCAGCAGTTTTTGCACCTTCGAGTACATTTTATCAAACATCAGTTTTTCTAATACCTTCGATGTAGCATTCAGAAGACTGATTGGCCTGTAATTGGAGACTACCTGTTTGTTATTTTCCTTGTGGATAGGCACTATTTCACTTACTTTCCAAGTAGATGGGAATTGCTGCTTGTTCGCAATCGTATTGAAAAGTAACATTAATGATTTTGAGATAGAGCTCCAGAGCTGTTTAAAGAGCAGGTTTCCCATTCTATCAGGTCCTTTTGACTTGTTTATGTTAAGATTTTTTAAAATGTCTTCTATTTCGATGATATTAAAATGAAAATGATTTAGGAGGGTCGTTTTATCACTGTCTAGGTTTGAATCATATGGAATGTTGCTGTAGACGGAATGGAAATACCGGTTGAAAAGTTCAGCTTTATCTTGGTCGGAGCGAGCTTTTTCACCATCGAGATACATTTCACTAGGCACAGTAGTAGAACGCCGAACGTTACGCAGATATTTTTGAAGTTTATCAAAACGCCCTTCTTTGAAAAGTTCTCTCTCATGGTTTTGCTGGTCCATCAGAAGAGCATAGGCCAGGTTTGTTTGCGATTTTTCCAATTTCCTGAGGTTAGCTTCGCTCGGCTTTTTAGTATAATTATTAGTTAATGTAGCTCGGATTTTAATAAGATTAGAGGTTGAGGGGGTTACCCAAGGCGCCAGGGACAGTCGATGTTTAGTTTGTAAGGGAATGTGCTTTATTAGAATACTATAAATCCACTGGTACCACAGTCTAGTCATAACATCGGTATTGCTGTAGCAGTATGGTATGAAAGGCTCCTCAGCTATTTGATCGTTTATGGCTCTCCAGTCGGCTTTGGTATAAGCGAACTTTGCAAAGTCGAGTTCAATTTCATGTGGTCTGTCGCGACGGAACGATTCGTTAGACTGAAATTGAATCCTTGCTTTGTAAGGCAAGTGATCGCTGGCGAAGTGGCTTTTCAGAAAGTTATCAATGCAAACATCAGAAAGGATATCCCCATTATTGCATAAGATCACGTCCAGTAAGTATTTTTTATGGTCGATTTTAATCGCTTGTTCATAGTTAAAGCTGCAGAGAGCGTCCAATACCACCTGTTCATTTTCAGCTCTGGATGTCAGTGTAGACCAGTCAGTTGTGCAAAATTAATGTCTCCTAATAATATCACATTTCGAACTGAGTTTTCTTGTTGCACATATCTGATATGGTTTAGTAGTATTATTAGTTTATTTGCTGACCAGCAGTAGGAACTGTTTGGCGGTGCGCTATATATGCAGCAGAGTAACAAGGGAATTTTGAAGTGAAGTATAGTGATTACACAGTCTGGTGAGTCGAACATGATTCTCGTGTGGGGTATATTCTTTTTCACTCCAATGAGGACTCCTCCATGTTTAGTATTACCGTTTTTACTGGGACGGTCACTTCTATGTGTATCAAACTTCGGCAGAAAGAGCGCTGCATTGTCTAAATTTTCGGAGAGCCAGGTTTCCGTAAGGCACACTATATCATAGTTATCATTAACTTGTAGACTATTTGAGAGGTCAGCTCTTCTGTTGTAATCTAGGATGCTTCGTACATTGAATAAAAGAACAGTTGCGTAGTGGTTTAGTCAATCATTAGCCTCCTTTGGGTCCTCATAGACAACCCATTTATTGTCTTGTCGTATTAACAGTTTCCCATCGCGGATCCTGAGGTCTTTTTTGTCAATTTTTTCGTTAATAAGTTCGCGACGTTTAGTATAATTATTAGTTAATGTAGCTCGGATTTTAATAAGATTAGAGGTTGAGGGGGTTACCCAAGGCGCCAGGGACAGTCGATGTTTAGTTTGTAAGGGAATGGGTTTGCTAGGTTCCAATTCATATTTCTGAGAAACGTCAGAAACGGCCATTTTGGCAGAAAACCGAAAAAAAACACAACAACATTAGTTGCGATAGCGTGAACAACGAGAATTGAGCTTGAAAAACAACGACGAATTGCAGAAGTAGCAGAGACCGTTCCGAGTTGCAACTATGTGTCGTGTGTCGCTACAATAGTTGCAATGCCGTTGCTAACAACGGTGAAGGGTGGAAAACCAGCCTTCCGGTAGGAAGATAAGAGCCTTATTTCCCCTGACTTAGGAATCCGGAGGGGTCTCGGGACTGGAACTTTTATTAACTTATATAAACTTTTGGCTTCCCTGTCATGTCCTGAGTTGAATTTAATTAACATCTGAATTCATTTTGTTGTTTAATTTTCCGTCGATATGTATCTTCCGGGCGAATGTTACATTAACTGATGCATGATTGGACTCTTTTCCAATTCAGATGGATCTATGAAACATTCGCCCGGAAGTACATATCGACGGAAAATGAAGCTAGGTTCTAAAACGACTGGCTAGCGTCTAAACACAGCTCTACATGCTTTTCACCGTCTCTCCCAAAGCCAGTTCTTTTTGATGGTCTTTCTAACATCGGGTCGACAAAAACGTTACTGCTTCTGGCTTCGGTCAAAACACTCGAATTAACTTAATTATATGCAAGAATAGTGAGCTCATGGCTGGGTCTCAGTATCCCCAGACCACGAGGTCACTCCTAAAAACAGGGCTACTACTTTTGCTTATATTACGATTGTTTTTGCTCAGTAGATAAAAATCATCACCTCCATCGAAGATGGATCAACCCTTTCCCTCAACTCCTAGCTTCCCATTATCTGAAAACGAATCTGGATGTTAACTAAATTCAATTCAGGACATAATCAGGAAGCTAAAAGTTTATATAAAACAGTTTGAGTCTGGAATCCGGGGAAATAGCGTCCTTATTTCTTTAAGGAAGGCTGGACACGTCGTACCACGACCCTTCCCCGTTCGTGTGAATTGCTCGGTAACGATTGTAGCGACACAATTGTTACAACTCGGAGCAGTTTCTGACCATTTCCAATTCTATCTGTCGTTATTTTCTTTAGTTGTTTTCACTACAACTATTGTTGTTGTTTTTTCTCGTTTTTCGCCAAAATGGCCGTTTCAATCATTTCTCAGAATATTCTGACCTTCACGATTCGTCTGAGCGCACAAATAACGTCGCTAATCTGCTAAAATTGTTAATTCTCCAGGTCAGCGGCCACGAATTCGAAACTGAATTTTCGTCCATTCTGGTCGAATGTCACATACTCCCGGACAGTCCGGTCAATGTCCTCATTGAGTCTCGCAGTCTTCATCAAAATGGTACAGTGCCATCGAACAGAATTTTAAAAATGCACGAAATCACTTTTATCCACATCATATCGACT